GTGTCAGTCAGTGCCAGTCACACAGTGTCAGTCAGTGCCAGTCACACAGTGTCAGTCAGTGCCAGTCAGTCAGTGCCAGTCACACCGTGTCAGTCACACAGTGCCAGTCACACAGTGCCAGTCACACAGTGTCAGTCACACAGTGTCAGTCAGTGCCAGTCACACAGTGTCAGTCAGTGCCAGTCACACAGTGTCAGTCAGTGCCAGTCACACAGTGTCAGTCAGTGCCAGTCACACCGTGTCAGTCAGTGCCAGTCAGTGTCAGTCAGTGCCAGTCACACAGTGTCAGTCAGTGCCAGTCACACAGTGTCAGTCAGTGCCAGTCACAGTGTCAGTCAGTGTCAGTCACACCGTGTCAGTCACACAGTGTCAGTCACACAGTGTCAGTCACACAGTGTCAGTCAGTGTCAGTCACACAGTGTCAGTCAGTGTCAGTCACACAGTGTCAGTCAGTGTCAGTCACACAGTGTCAGAGTGTCAGTCACACAGTGTCAGTCAGTGTCAGTGTCAGTCACACAGTGTCAGTCACACAGTGTCAGTCACACAGTGTCAGTCAGTGTCAGTCACACAGTGTCAGTGTCAGTCAGTGTCAGTCAGTGTCAGTCACTGTCAGTCAGTCAGTGTCAGTCACTGTCAGTCAGTCAGTGTCAGTCACTGTCAGTCAGTCAGTGTCAGTCACTGTCAGTCACACAGTGTCAGTCACTGTCAGTCACACAGTGTCAGTCAGTGTCAGTCACACAGTGTCAGTCAGTGTCAGTCACACAGTGTCAGTCAGTGTCAGTCACACAGTGTCAGTCACACAGTGTCAGTCAGTGTCAGTCACACAGTGTCAGTCAGTGTCAGTCACACAGTGTCAGTCACACAGTGTCAGTCACACAGTGTCAGTCACACAGTGTCAGTCAGTGTCAGTCGCACAGTGTCAGTCAGTCAGTGTCAGTCACACAGTGTCAGTCAGTGTCAGTCACACAGTGTCAGTCAGACAGTGTCAGTCAGTGTCAGTCAGTCAGTGTCAGTCACACAGTGTCAGTCAGTGTCAGTCAGACAGTGTCAGTCAGTGTCAGTCACACAGTGTCAGTCACTGTCAGTCACACAGTGTCAGTCAGTGTCAGTCAGTCAGTGTCAGTCAGTCAGTGTCAGTCAGTGTCAGTCAGACAGTGTCAGTCAGTGTCAGTCACACAGTCAGTGTCAATGTTGAGGTCACACAGACTGTTACCTGCTGCAGTGGATGTGGTGCCGGTTGTTATGTGATTAGTGGTGTTGCCCATGGCGGGGGCTGCCCCTCTCGCTCCTGTCTCTCCGCTGCCGGTCCTCCCGGTGTCCCCATGGCTCCCCGGGGCCGAGTTCATCATGACCCATGCCGCCGCAGTGGCGCAGCTGCTCTGCCAGCACAGGGACCCGCAGTAACACTGCCACAGCCATTCCTGCAGGCGGCGGGTGTACTCGGAGGCGGTAATGGCTCCTCTCACACTCTGCTCCCGGGTACAGGATTTCCTATCCCGGACAGGTCCGGCACCCTCCGGAGCCTCCGCCATGTCTACACACTGAGCCTTCCAGCAAGGAGTTCTATAGACGCGAGATACAAGCAAGAGTGTACCTCAGCAATGCGAGCACGACAGCCATTTTGGTGTAGCCTGTGGAACTGAACTCAAAAGATTCTGATCTCCACTAACACGTCCGCCGCTACTGGCACCTCTGCTGGTTTCCCAGATACTCGCCCTTTGCGCTCTAGAAGGGTTGTGTGTGTCTCTGGTGTTTAGCGCTTCTTGCCTCGCTGAACATTCCTACCCATCATTACTGTGCAGCATGTCATACTGAAAATACCCGGGCTATTTACTAAAGTGAGAATCTCACATTCAGTGTCACAGTAGCTGAGCACTTCAGTTCAGATATTGTGACACCCCCACCCCCTCCCCCAGTGTTGCACTTTAAGTACCTGCCTTTGACGGCCTGTGGACTGTAACTCCTATCACTGTCAACCTGGCTTAATTCTAACCAAAGTCTTGTCAAGTTTTCACTCTCCCAATCAACCAACATACCATCTTTGTCATTTGGTTAGATTTACAGTAGGTGTGAGGTTCTGGGGTATAACGTGAAACTCACCCAAGATTTCCATCAACCCTCTCTCCAAAAAAGAAAGCACTCTCTCTCTCTCTCTCTCTCAGAAAATGCAATGCAACATTTATTGTGAAGCAGCAATAATACCTTACTACAACTTAGCAAGAAAGCTAAGAGCAGATTTCTATAATAGGTCAAATATATGCCGCAAAAATGGCAGTGACTAAATAATAGATACAAAGAATAAAATCAGGACATACTTGAAAACGAGAGAAATCTCAATGTATTCTTCCTGGTAAGGTGGATTGTTTCTGCTATTACTAAGGCTTAGCAGGCTTCAGACGTACTTGTGTTTTATGATTATTTTACCATATCTATGGCTTTGTCATGGGTGTGTTGCCTGACCGTATCTGTTCTGCTGTTACCTGGGCATCAATTAATACATTTATTACCATCTTGATGTAGTTAGATCATCCAGTTCATCTTTTGGGTTAGGTGTTTTATCTGCCATTCATTAGATTTACTGATACATTGTTTGCATTTACCCATCTGTAGTGCTGCCATGAATATGTCCTGGAAAACAAATTAAAATCAAACTTACTATTACTTCCTCTTCCTGGATATAGGCCATGGCAGCCATACACTTCCTCTTTTATTAGTAATTCTGTGGCTTGGAAAGACTGGAGGTGTAAGTAAAGGAATTAATTGTTTGATTTAATTGAAAAATTTTCCTTTTACAAATTTCCTAATGCTAAAGATCTGTCCCAGATCTTGTTGAAATGTTTTTTTCACTGCACACCCCACCGATCCACCTCTTTGTACCCACGCAGGATTGGTTCTGGTGATAGCCATATCTGTATCTAACTATGCAGATCTTCATTCTCCAAGATTGACACAGTCTCTTATATTATAGCCTATTGTGGGCAGGAATCCCATTGGATCTCTTCTCCTTCTAAAATATGGCACTTTAATAACTTTCCGATAGTATATTATGCCAACCTTGAAGGTAATCATAAAAAAGGGGTGTCGCTATCGTTTTGTCGAAAACTTTAAAATTTGAATATGTTCACTCAGAAAGTGATCTTAACGGTAGATTTCTACTCCTAATTGCTAAGATAAATGACACGATATTAACTCTTGTAAATGTATATGCTCCAAATTACTTTTCATTGGGTTTCCTGGAAGATTGTATTTCTAAAATAGAAAAGCTCAAGTTTTGAAACGTAATTATTGGTGGTGATTTTTATTGTGTTTCCAACTTAAAACAAGACAAAAATAATAATAAAGACTGGGATTTAAAAATTAAAACTTCTGCCAACAAACAAACACCGCCTGTCAGAAGGGTATGACAATTATGTAGTGAGGACTGTTTTATGAGACTAGGCAGCGAGAGTTACTGCTGGGTAGTGATACTCACAACAATTGTCAGCCTGTTTGGCAGGGCGGTGAAGTGACAATCAAATACATTAAAGCTAATTCAACGGGATGAAACTGTAATAAAATTACTAGGCTGCTGCAGCCTTAACTGTGGGTTCGTACTTCCACGGTAGGCTGTTGCGGTTAGACAGGGAGACAGTCAGCCTTCTCCTTGTCTGGGCAGTATGCCACCTGTTGGTGGGCCAGGTGTTTAACCGTCAAGTGGCACTCCCGGCTGGCATGACCCGTGTGCCGGTGTGTTGTATGGAATGTGAGAGTGTGTGGGTAAAGATATTGGATGTCCCGCTGCCTGCCTGGGTCAGTTAGATCTATCAGGCCTTGTAACATGAAGGTAGGTGCCAGGTGGGGGTGTGAGGGTTGGGGATAGTGCTTCCCATAGGTTAGTATATTACTGTAGTGAAGCTGAGGTGTAGCGGGGTAGTGTATGGTCCTTATTGCATGAGTGTGCCCCGTGGGGGACATTGAAGCTGTGTGGTGTAGCCATAGATGTGGGGGGATGAGCTCTGTCGGGATGGTAAACTGGGTAGTGAGCCAGCTAAGGTGGTGTCCCCATATTGTGTCTGGTCGGTGTGGGCTGCTTGTGGTTAGTGGGTAATCGCAACGCTGTTTGGGTGACCCCTTAGTCTAAGAGGCATTGAGGTAGTAGGAAAATATATACTAGACATCACAGAATTGTGAGAAAAAGGGAGAGGTCTGATCTAAAGTTTGCCTTGGGAAACAGTCCGTGGCCGTATATGGACATCTGGTGCTCATCTTGGTCGCTGACCCAGCTTTCAGGTCTCAGCTCTGCCGGGCAGGGTGGTCTGTGTGGTCCTAGGGACAAACTCACAGATTCCTGCCGGGTCCAAGCTAGCCAGGCTAGGCTCCCCATTCGCAGCCATCGGCATAATACCCTGGGCTCTCAGTATATCCTCCAGCTCCCAATATGTGCCGACTTGGTGTGTTGCACCTTTAAAGGTGAGCTGGATGGTGCGTGGTAGGCTCTACCTGTATTGGATGTCCCGGGTCCGGAGCACCTGTAAGAGGGGTCTCAGAGACCGTCGCCAGCTCAGTGTGTGTCTTGTTAGATCCGGAAAGACCAGCAACATCGCTCCTTCAAAAGTTATCGGGGTCTTCCCCCAGATAGCCGCCAAAAGTGAGGACCTGTCCTGCAGGTATTGGAATCGGAGGATGAGATCAGGTGTCATGTCCTGCGGGGCCCCTGCTGGCCTGGAGAGGTGGAACATGCCATCCAGTTTCATGGCTTTGGCCTGTTTAGGCGGGAGGAAGGATTCCATGAACCACCGTATGAAATGAGGTAGGTCTGTAATCCCCTGTGATTCTGGTACTCCCCTTATCTTGAGGTTGTATCGCCTCCGGTGCTCTTCCAGTGCATTAATTCTGCCGTTGGTCTGCTGTAGTTTGTGTTGTAGGTTTTCCAGACCCTGTTCTACCGCAGTCAGCCTGGTGGTGTGATCGTTTTTGGAAATTTCTAGCTGGGTGAGCCTCGAGGTGTTGCTCTCGATCGCCTTTCTAAAATGGGCCATGTCTCCCTGTAGGTTTGCTCGGAGTTCTGCGAGCATCGCCTTTAATTGTGGTGCAGTGACCGGTTCTCTGTCCCCCGATGTTGAGGGGGGTAGATCCCGTTTTTTTGCTGGAAGTGGCCCCTTTCCTCAGTCCTGGGGAGGATTCCTCCGAGGAGCACGATGAGCCCTCATCCAGGGGTGCCATTTTATCCCACGCGGCCCTCTGCGAGCAACGGAATAACTCGCCAATGTCATGGCTTATCGGGCTTTTATCAGCCTTTGGTCGTTTGTTTGCGTCCCATGCTGTCAGGCGTATAACAGTGGAGTTTGAGTCTCCATGTTTCTTCCAAATTTTCAAGTTTTAGGGAAATAGTTTGCAGAGCACGGGGAGAGTGCGATTGCCCTGGTTCGCTGCTTGACTCCGCCCCTATTATGGATTTTTATTTGGCCCTTTATGGGGCTGAAAAAAGAAGAGTTTAGAAGAAAGAAGACATCAAATGGTAAGTTTATTTATTTTTATTTTTACAGGTATTTAGATAAGGGTCCCCCCTCATTATTTTTAGGATGAGGGGGGTAGGTAGGGGTTATTTTTTTGGGGTGGGGGGTGACCGGAGGGGAGGAGTTACATTTTTATTTAGGGCCCCCTCCCGCCGCTCAGGGGAGGGGGCCAGGGTGGAGGACAATAGGTCCCCCCCTTTATTGATATTTAGGGCCCCCACCCACCGCTTAGGGGTGGGAGCCGGGGGGAGGACAATAGGTCCCCCCCCTTATTCTAACTTAGGGCCCCCACCCGCCGCTCATGGGTGGGGGCCGGGGGGGAGGACAACAGGTCCCCCCCTCCTATTGATATTAAGGGCCCCACCCGCTCCAGGGTGGGGGCTGGGGGGGGGAATATAAATATTTTGTTTTTTTTTGTGTTTTCTGTGGCTGCTCACTGTTTACTAGACATGCCCCTACTCGCGGTATAGCGAGTAGGGGCATAATTTACTAATACTAAGTAATCTTTACTTAGTATTAGTACATTTGGCTGAAAGACCAATTTAGGTCTTTCAGCTTTTTAGTAGATAGATCCCTAATACCGTGGGAATTAGGGAGTTATCTACTTATTCATTCCTGTCATTACATTGACTGGCTAAGTAACTTACATTTGAATGTGTGTTACTTGATTGTTGTAAGTGTTGCAAATGCTTACAGCTGAATCCTGGCTATGTTTGTATACTTTTTATTTAAAATTGTATACAGTGTAACATTCTTCATTCTTCCACTGGGTAAATATATGAGTACTTCGACACTTCCGAACTTCAGAATTTCAACACTTCGGAACTTCGACACTTTGGAAATTCGGCAATATCGGAACTTCGGGAATTCAGGAATTCGGCAATTCAGCTATACGGACATTCGGAAGTACCTGAATGTCCGAACTGCCTGAAATTCGTCTGAATTCGAATTCGGACCGAAACGAATTGCACATGTCTACTAAATCTATTATATTCCTTAAACAAAAATGGTATCACAATCACAAAGTTAGTAAAGTGCTTTCGAATAAACTGAAAAACACTTCTAGGGATAAACCTAACTGTGTGTAAGGGTGCTGTGTATGAGGGTGCTGTTAGTGTGATGTGTGTGTGAGGGTGCTGGTAGTGTGCTATGTGGGTGAGGGTGTTTGTGTGTGTGTTTGTGAGGGTGCTGTTTGTGTGCTGTATGTGGGTGTTGTGTGTTTGTAAGGGTGCTGTTAGTGTACTGTGTGTGAGGGTGTTGTGTGTGTGTGTGTGGGTGATGTATGTGTGTGCTGTTTGTGTGCTGTATGTGTGTGTGTGCTGTATGTGTGTGTAGGTGCTGTGTGTGTGTGTGTGTGTGTGTGTGTGTGTGTGTACTGTTTGTGTGCTGTATGTTTGGGTGACTGTGGGGGTGGTGGTGGGGGCAGATTAGTTAATATCCCCCCTCCCTTCTTACTTTATGTAGGGAAGGGGGGCAGTGTTGCTGCCATCCTTTGTGGTCTAGTAGAGAGTGAACTCTAGCCTGCGGGGCTAGAGATCACTCTCGCAAGATCTGAGCGTTGCCGCGGCAATGCTCAGATCTCGTGAGAGGATCCCGGGGGAGCTGCTGGCTAGAGCTCCCCGGGTCCTCTCCTGCCTCCCTCCATGCTGCTGTGGGCCGGTGAGGTAGATCTTTGATCTCCCCACTGGCCTATGGAGGCTTAGAGCAGAGCCGGCATTCAGATAACGCCGGCTCTGCATGAGCCGACAGGGTAGATCCTGAGATCTCCCCTGCCTGTCTCAATCTATAGGCATGCCGCGGGGATTAGGGTGTGCCCAGGCACACCCCGTGCGCACTCCTATGACGTATACTGCTTTATACAAATTACCCCCACAATCACCCAAACATACAGCACACATTTTATTTTTTGTTTCTTTGGAGAGCAGCCATTTTTTGTTAGTCGGTTTCCTTCCCCCAAATCTCCAGTTAGATTCTATTTGCAGGAGTCAGTTTAAAGATTGCTGCTAAATGTACATTTGCTACCTGCACATTTGGTCTAACAAGTTTTCTGGCAGTAACACATAACAGGCTGGCCAAAACCAGATAACGTGTGCATAAAAACCAGAATGTAAAAATTACCACTACACTTTCTCTGTTTTTTGGGGGGGGCAAAATGATTGGGGGAAAGAAGTCAAAACACCCCATCTTCTATAACCTTTGATGTCTACTTTATAAAAATATAAACTATATATACTTTCATGATGGTAACATTAACTGGGGGGTGCAAAAATATGTCAAACTGAAGATAGACCAAGCATACCTATATATCAAGTTGAAAAACTGACATGTACAAGTTCTGATTGTTGCCTTTTGGCCCCCAAACAACCCAGCAACCCTATGCATAGGGGGTATCACTGTACTCGGGAGATGTTGCTGAACATATTGGGGTGTTGTTTGGCAGTGACACATAACATGATCTGTTAATTCATGCCTAAAGTACAATGTGTGTAAAAAAAACAGAAAACAAATTACCAGGGGCGTACCTAGAGCATTTGGCACCGGGGCGGGTCCTGTGCTTGGCACCCCCTTGCCCCCCCAAAGCCAGTTTGGCTCCGCCTCTGATTTTGCTTAGCTCCGCCCCACTTTTCCTCCGTGCGGCCAGTTTATCAGCTGTTTGCTTGTGTGAGCTGTACTGGCCGCACGGCACCCTAACTACCATGGGGCACTGTGCGGCCACAGCTCACACAGCCCCCTCCAGCCAGGGCCAGTGCAAGGATTTTTGCCGCCCTAGGCAAATGTAAAGTTTGCCGCCTCCTTCCCCCCATGTGACATCACAACAGGGCTGTCTTTAATTTTGATTGGACCCTGGGCAAGCATTTACTTGGGCCCCCTGACTACATATAGATACACACAAATACACTACCTGACACACATGCAGATACACACTGACCACATATAGATACACACAAGAACATACAAATACACACAGACTACATATAGACACTGACACACATACAGACACACAGATACACAACCTGACACACATGTAGATATACAGATACAAACACTGACACATACAGATACACACTGACTATATACAGTTACACACACACAAACACAAACGGACAACATACAGATACAGAGACACATTCTGACAGACGTACTGACACAGAGACACACACAGACAGCCATACTGAAACACACATACACACAGACAAACAGAACCACACTGACAGACTCACACATAGACATACCGACACACTGACAGACATACAGACATTCTGGCACACATACACACAGACAGACATACTGAAACACACAGACACTGAAAGACGTACACACATACAGACATTTTGACACTCACAGACAGCCATACTGAAACACACATACAGACAGACATACAGAACCACACGGACACTGACAAACTCACACATAGACATACTGACACACTGACAGACATACAGACATTCTGGCACACATCCACACAGACAGCCATACTGAAACACACAGACACTGACAGCCGTACACACATACAGACATTTTGACACTCACAGACAGCCATACTGAAACACACATACACACATACATACTGAACCACACGGACACTGACAGACTTACACACACAGACATACTGACACACTGACAGACATACTGGCACAAATACACTGACAGACATACTGGCACATATACACAGAGAGACAGACATACTAAAACACACATATACACAGACACTGACAGATATATTGACAAACACAGACATACAGAACCACACAGACACTGACAGACAGACTCACACACACAGACATACTGACACACTGACAGACATACTGGCACACTGACAGACAGACATACATACATACTCACACACACAGACACTCATGCAAAATTGATAACCACCCTCCAGTTTCTTACCTTTTCCTGGAGGGTGGCTTCCCTGGGGTCCAGTGGGCTGGCTGGGGTGGCTGGGAGTTAAGCTCTCCCGGCCTGGCCCCCTCCGGAACAGCTGGTCCTCCCTTCCTCCCAGTGCTGCAGTCAAGCGCCACAGCGCCTGACTGGGCCCCTGCTAAAATAGGCCCACCGGGTGGCCCTAAGTGCATGGGCCACCCGATGGGCTCGCATATTTTGCGGGCAGAGGGCAAACGGAGCAGCTGTCTTGGGCCCCCCAGCTGGGACAGGGCCCGGGGCAGCTGCCCCATTTGCCCCGTGTTAAAGACGGCCCTGCATCACAATGCCACACCCATATGATTTGCCATGTTATCTAACGCCAGTGCTGCAGTGCCGCCGTGTTTACATTAAAAAGCCTGTAGGGACAGGCTATAGACACCAGAACCACTACATTAAGCTGCAGTGGTTCTGGGGACTATAGTGTTTATTTAAAGTGAGGTAAATTAGAGATTAGTGCCACGAATAATATACTAGATTGCCTACTTACAACCAGATGAGGATGATGACGGGCTCTAGCTGCAGTCTGGCTCCACTGGTCTGGTGTAGAACAGGCTCTCTGGAGGCGGTTTGTAACTGTGGTCACAAAAATCAATGTTCTGGGAGAACGGGAAGCAGCTCCATTTTTTGGGGGCCCTTTACACAGCTCAAGGTCTGGGTCCCAGGGTCCACCTTCATGTTCCACCAATGAGTTTGTTCACAGGGGGTGGAGTGTGTAGGGGATGTCCTGATATGTGTGTAAGGAATGCATTGTGTGAATCTGTGTTTGTATGTGTAAGGGCTGCAAGGTGTGTTTCTGTGTATGTACGAGATACATTGAGTGTGTGTAAGGGGTGCATTGAGTGTGTGTAATGAATGCATTGTGTGTTTCTGTGTGTGTAAGGGATGCATTGTGTGAAACGGTTGCATTGCTTGTGTATGTGTGTCTGTGTGTGTAATGCAGTGTGTGTAATTCATTGTGTGTTTTTCTGTGTGCAAGGGGTGCATCGTGTGTGATGAATGTCAATCTCCCCCCCCAATTTCCTTCTCTCTCCCCCCTCCCAATTTCTTTCTTTATCCCCCTCTCCCAATCTTTCTTTATACCCCCCTCCCAATTTCCTTCCCCCCCTCCCAATCTCTCCTTATCCCCCCAATCTCTCCTTATCCCCCCTCCCAATCTCTCCTTATCCCCCCCACCTCTCCTTATTCCCCCCATAATCTCTCCTTATTCCACCCCCCCAATCTCTCCTTATTCCACCCCCCAATCTCTCCTTATTCCACCCCCAATCTCTCTTTATTCCACCCCAATCTCTCCTTTATCCTCCTTATTCCCCCAATCTCTCCTTGTGCCCCCATCTCTCCTTATTTTACCCCATCTCTCCTTATTCCCACCCCATCTCTCCTTATTCCCACCCCATCTCTCCTTATTCCACCCCCATCTCTCCTTATTCCACCCCCCATCTCTCCTTATTCCTACCCCATCTCTCCTTATTCCACCACCCCCCATCTCTCCTTATTCCACCACCCCCATCTCTCCTTATTCCACCACCCCCATCTCTCCTTATTCCACCACCCCCTCCACCTCAGTTGTAGCGTGGCCGAGCCCAGTATAGTCCGCGGTTACAGGTAGCTTTTGTTTTCTGTACCCGGCCGGACTAACAGGAAGTGCACACTCAGTGTGTACTTCCTGTTAGTCCGGCCGGGTACAGGAGACAGATGCTCCCTGTACCCGCGGACTATACTGGGCTCGGCCACGCTACAGTGAGGGAGTGACAGGAGGGAGCGCTGAGCGCTCCCTCCTGTCAGCCCCTCTCTTTAGGCTGCGCCCGGGCGGGCAAAGCTGCAGCCGCCTGAGGCTCTCTACAGAGCGCTCGGGCGGCTGCAGCAGGAGGGGGGCTGGCACCCCCTCCCAAGGCACCCCCCACCCTGCTGGCACCCGGGGCGGACCACCCCCCCACATCCCCCCTTAGTACGCCACTGCAAATTACTACCTCAATGTTTGACAAAGCCTGGTGGTAGAATTAGTGCATGGAAAGTGTTAAAATACCACCATGTGAAATACCCTAGGATGTCTACTTTTCAAAAATATATGGTTTGATGGGGGTAAAATACATTGGCCGGCTTAAAAAATGTCCCAAATAGGACATGCATGCAGGTTGACTACATGTCGAAATTCCAAGCTGGGAAACTGATATGCGCACCTGCAAATGTGGCATTTTAGCCCCCAACAACCCAACACACCTATACATGGGGGGTATCCCTGTACTCGGGAGATGTTGCTGAACACATATTGGGGTGTCATCAGAGGACAGTATATTTATGCTAATAAAATCTTTTATATTATAAGCAATCTGTTGTATACACTATATAAATGACATAGCATTTTGGATTTCGACTACAGTGGGATAATTTACTTTCCTACCTATTTTATTTATCTTTAAGTGTATTGGTTTATGTATATGATAGAACCTCTACTAGATTAATAACTCAGCTATTTCTTATTTTCCTTACCCTTATATGGGAAGAAAACATACAATCAGCTGATACATTTTTTGCCTATTGTTGCTAATTTGTGAATACACATCGAAGCTACTATTTAATACCATTTCCACAGAGTCCTGCAACTACTATTGTCTATTCAATAGGCACCAAATTCTTACATTTCTAACCGCAGGTGGCGGCTATTTCTGCAGTGACACAGTGGTTATGGTAACCATATCGGGTCTCATTGTCTAACTTCAATAGCTACTCATCAGTGTTTATTGGTGTTTATCTATCAAGTTGCTTTTAACTTATTAGTTCAGTGTAATAGTTGTTATGCATTTGTTTCACGTTCAACTTTCTGGAGATTTGGATGCTGTCTAATCTGTAGACCGTTCTGTATATTGCAGCAGGAGATTGTATTTTTGAAGTCTGAGATTTGTAAATTATCCGGTAAACAAACTCAGGCATGAACTGTTGCAAAGCCACTGCTGCAGAGACGTCCTAGGAATGACAGATGGATTACTGTAGGTTCTGGTAGAATTAATTTTCAGCACTTTCAGAGTGTAATGGTGTTATGGAGACCGGCTCAGGCACTGAGTGCAGTGGTGTTGTGGAGACAGGTTCAGGCACCGAGTTTGTGGAACCACCATCCTCTGTCAAAGTTGTGCAATACTGGAACCAATGACAAAGAGAATAAGGTGAGGCATGATAGAAAGCAGTTGTTGCTGGAGGATTCTATCATAAGAGGTGTGGAGCTAGACAATAGTGGCCTTGTGAGATGTCTTCCTGGAGCTACTGCTCACAGCGACAGGAGATGTATTTGTAATACTGTTAAGTGAGCAAAGCAGGATGGGGACTTGAATGTACTTGTCCATCTAAGGACAAATGACTTGGCTTGCAATGAGGTTTCAGAAGTAAAGGAAGTTTGTGTTTTTGCCAATGATATACGGCAGGTTGCTTTCACACTGTCATTATCTGAAGTTCTGACTGTGCATAAATTCCATAGTTGCCAACTGTCCCATTTTTGTTGGGACAGTCCCGGCAAGCTGGAGTCTGTCCCGGGCAAATCACCCTCCCGGGACAGTACCGGCAGCTTGCATTGGCATCTGCTTTTATTATTTTCCCTCGGCTTGTAACTGCCTGTTACAGTCCAAGAGAGATGTTTGGGGCTATAGAGAGGTGCAGGGGGCTGGAGGGAGCACTGACAGTCTCCCTTCCAATTTCCCAGCAGCTTCCCCCGCACACAGGCTCCTGCTCTGCCTCGCGGATGCAGGCTCCGCCCATGCATGCAAGGAGCTTCGCCTCCTGCCATCAAGCTCTGCCCCCACGTTAAGCAGGAGACCTTGCTGCAGATGGCTACCTGACCTCATAGCAACAGCCTCCAGTGCCAGGTAGGCTTGAAATACTCAGCTGTGTGTGTGTGTGTGTGTGTGTGTATGCGCGCCTGCTATTGAGAAAGTTTGTGTGTCAGTGAGCTTGTATGTGTTTGTGTGTGACTGCGTATTTAGCAGTCGGTGTGTGAATGTGTATATAGATAGGAGTATAGCTGATAATCTACAGAAAGAAAAACAGTACAATAGTGTAATACTGTAAATAAACAATAAAACTATGCCAATATGAATTGAACTCACAAGATGTAGGTAGTAAGATAGCCTCAGGGTGCCTCCCCTTAGATGTTTGGGGGTATATCCAGTACTCCCTCTCAGATGGTTGGTGGTGTAGCCACAATATGGAAGTCTAGACTCAGGAAATGGTAAAAAAAAAAATTAATCTCCTTTATTTGTATAAGTATAAAAAAACTAATCTGGTCCTACACGTTTTGTCTTACATAAGACGCAGTAATAAAAAACAAATTAGTACATGTAAAATATCCTAACAAAAGGACAAAATAGCAGTATAACCCTTCCCTCCCCAGTTCTTCCTTATATCTGGCTGTCATCTCTTCCATTGGTGGTCCAAGGGGCGTCTTGCACACTGTCCAGCTGTTTCAGATTTTTCAGTAGATGTTCGCGGGTGCTGTACCCGCATGTCAACAAGCTGCCATTGTAAAATACAAACTAATGATGAAAGGTTACAAGAAAAATCATATTGAAAAGAAGATTAAAAGAATTGCAGAGATAGATAGAAACAAATTAATGATAGATAGACCAACACACTCTAGTAACAAAAAAAAAAAACAGACAGAAATTTGAACATGTCTTCACCACTAGGAACAACACTGACCACTTTAAAATCAAAAGAGCGATATCGAAATATTGGCCTATTCTTCAAGAGGATAATATCCTAGGATCCATTTTGCCAGAATGACCTCCCATTATTTTTAAAAAGAACCAAAATCTTAATAAATTAGCTCCAAGTTACATCATTAAACATATGGACAAGACAGAGGATTACACTTCAGATAAAGGATTCAGATACTGCAAAGCATGTAATAAAATCTCTATGTCTATGTTAAAGTACTTAACTAGTACAGTAACAGGGAAACAATACACAATCAAATACAAAATAGATCGCCACACAGATCACGTGATATACTTTTTACAGTGCCCATGTAGCAAACAATATGTGGGCAAAACAAAAAGAAAACACAGTGAGAATCCTAGAACATTTTGGAAACATCAGAAAGAAGGCCATCAACCACACAGTCCCCGTACATTGCAATTTCTGTTTACACTTTAGTTTGAATTAATTCTCCTTCTTAGAATAGAATATATTCCACCACATTGGAGAGGAGGAATGTCAGGGTCCTACTTGAGGTGGGAGTCCGGTAGGCAGAGATTTGTGCTCACCCTTGCAGATAAACACAGTCCAAGGTGATAAGGTTAGAAACCACCAGGACTGTGAATCTGTGCATGGGGCTGTGCATGAAAGGTGCTCCAATTCGCAGTACAGACAAGGACACCACCAGAAGGATTGTCAAGGATAACCCAAAGTCAGAGGATGCCAGAGGTCAGGATAAACAAGGAAGGAAGCCAAGGTCAGGAGCCTGGGTCAACCTGGAGAACAAGTTTCAGGAGACAAAACAGCAACACATGATCACCAAAATCAAAGAACTGACAAAGTTCCCAGGGCAAGGCAGTGTTTAAATACCTGGTTGATTAGCCTCAGGTGAAGCACAGGTATCAGCCACAGATGGAGTCCAGCCCCGTAGTGCTGCAGACAAAGCCAGGAATAACAAAGATAGAATATATTCAAAAGAACAATCTGCTGTGGCTTGGCGGCAGTATAGCAGGCCCAGTACACAGAAGGATCCAGGTTCATATCCCCTGTTGGGCACTTAGGGGGCAACCCTGTCTAGATATCATGTGGAGAACTGTGACAAGGAAGCAGAGAAGACAGGCTAACACAGCAGGGTACCTGTTGGGTTCTCTGTACCAAGGTGGTCTCAATGCAGACTTTCTCTAATATATTATTTACATACAGGGCTAATTTCCAACAAGATATTCTTCTTAAGAGATCTATATCACGTTACAATGGACTTTTAAGATTTTTTTATTTTTTTTAAAATAAATTTATTGCATGGGATTTTTATTCCCTAAGTGGTTCTTTATATTAAAAAAAAGTTTTTTGTTATTAAATATCCACACTACATCTACCCATGTGAGGGGTTCAGGTTCTGTGGATATGTATGTTTTTTATGTTTTTATGTGTTTGCATGTCCCACATTTATTTAGACAATTATGTGATAATACTCCTTAGTATTACAAAATATGATAATCAAAATATATCAAAATATACCATATAAGTAATATATCTTTGGATTCTCAATAATATTCATACTCTCTATACCAGTGATGGCGAACCTAAGGTGCGGCACGCCGGGCCCTCTCTGTGGGCACGTGGCCATAGGTCACCGGTCAGCATCAATGCAGAGTAGGCACCTGCCTGCCCAAAACGGCAGGTGCCTACTCTGCTTCTGTGTCGGGAGGACAGGGGGAGGGATATGAGAAGCAGCTCTCCTGTCCTCCCGCAAGCAATCTGTGTGGATCGTTACCATGGCAATGCTCCACACTGCATTCTGCGCGCAGGAGGACAGGAGAGCTGCAGGACCTGTCCCTCTTACCATCACCGGACTACCAGGGATTTCTGTGTCCCCCCTCCTTCACCAAAGGTAAGAAGAAGGGAGGGGGGATACAGATTGCATTAATATATTTGCAGCAGCCCCCCCCACACACAGCACCACCCACACATGCCACCCCCACACACACACAGCTCCCCTCCCACACACACACATTACCCCCCTCACACACACACACATACACAACACCCCCTCACACACACAGCACCCCCACCTCACACACACAGCACCCACACTCACACAGCACCCCCTCCTCACACACACAGCACCCCCCACACACAGCACCCCTCTCACACACACACCACCCCCCACACACACCCACAGCACCCCCCCACTCACACACAGAACCCCTCTCACACACAGCACCCCTCTCACACACACACACAGCACCCCTTACACACACACACAGCACTCCACACACACTCCGCACCCGTACACACAAACACATACACTGCACCCCTCAATGCAGTATGTGTGTGTGTTTGTGTGTATGTATTCCGCAGACTGTGTGTATGTATTCAGCAGTCTGTGTGTACTCAGCATTCTGTAGGTGTGTGTGTAACGGATCACGTGGCACCCCGACTGGGTACCTCCGTTGAAGGATGCTCCTAGCGCTTTCTGAGAACTCCAAGCACTGCAGCAGACACCACAACCACCGAACTGCAGAAGCATACAAATGCTCTCAAGCATATGAATGCTGTAAGCAGCTGAACAGGAAAAGCATACAATCAGCTTACACTCCTGGCAATCAGCATACAATCCAATTCCCCCAATAACGAGACAACACTTCATTTTGAGGTCAAGCAGAACTGACTGTACTGGCACATACAGCCTCTTTTATTCCCAATCCACAAACTTAGTACTGCCCACAGGGTTTTACAGAACAACCAATAACACACGTACATTACACACAGACACTCCCACACAACATCCTCCCCTCTGCCTGTGATATGATTACTGAACACAATGGTTAATCTAATTATCACAGGCAGAGAAATACAGTATTATAAAACATATCACAGGGACCCCAAAACATGCAATAACCCCATAAAATCATATATCATTGGAACCGGGGGATCTGGGTGAACCACATATTAAAAATTCACCCAGATCCGTTAAGTAGTTTGGAAGATGCAGTTTAATGCAGATTCTGCAGAACATATACCGGCTATATGAAAAATAATAACTGTATAATGTGTCCCCTGTTGTATGGTTTAAAACTACTGAACGATGTCGTCGTGCACCAAATACTTGGGAGATGGCACCGTGTAGAAAAGTCCAAACAGTGTCTGTGAGTTAAAATGGCCGCCATCCATTGTTCTCACCATGTGCCTCTGATACATGAAATGGTGGCCACCCAGTAACTCCACAGTATGTCCCCAGATGGTTCTTAAAGGGCCAGCAGCAGCATAATAAAATACAATATGCTCAAATACTGTATTTAAAGGGCCAAATCTCCCAGGGCCATAGTCAGCAGACAGGAGGCGGGCAAACAGGCTTCTCCAATGCCCAGTGGCGAAGTTGGTTTCGCCACAGTGTGTGTGTATTCAGCAGTCTGTACGTGTATTCAGCAGTGTGTGTATTCAGCAGTCTGTATGTATTCAGCAGTCTGTGTGTGTATTTAGTGGACTGTCTGTACGTACTCAGCAGTCTGTGCGCATGTTTGTGTGTGCGTGTATGCAGCGGACTGTGTGCATGCATTCAGCAGTCTGTGTGTATGTATTGCATTTGTTGGGGATACTAATAAATATAAGCCTAATTTTATCTATAATATAAATTTTTATTCCTGTGAGTTGTGTGTAGGCAGGCGCCGTCGTGTCATTAATGGAATTTCCTGATTCCCGGCAGCATCAGCGGAGGGAGCAGTGCTGAAACAGCACGTAAGTAAGTGCTCCCTCGCGCCCACACCCCCTCACAGCAGCGGGAAGGAATCTGATCCACCAGGTAGGGAGCCTGGGTGGACTTCAAACCCCCACCCGCACCAAAAAAAACCACATTATTTATGTTTTTATGTTTTGGAGCTGGAGTGGGGGATATACTGGGGAAAGGGAGATATGCTGGGGTAGTGAAGGGAAGATGCTGAGGGGAGAGAAGAGGAAAATCTGGGGGAGAGAAGTGGAGGTGTTGCGGGGAGAGGAGGAGGAGAATTACCACTGTGCACTTTGTAGCATAACATGCACTGAACATTTTGATTTTTTTGATTTTCCTTAAATTCACCTTTTCTGTCTAGTTTGTTTACAAGGGAGAGAAGGATTCTTTATTAATTTACCTGTTTGAACTCTTGGATCTAATCATAATCTTAGACTGCAGGCAGGTTTTCTAGCACTGTAATAACCATTTATTTAGATGTTAAGTCTTTATATATACGGAGAATGAATAGCCTCTATTTGTTTTTTGTACATTCCCCTCATATATTATGAAGAGCATGACATATACCCACTTCTCGTTTTGACATTAAACCTTCCATGGGACTGACTATAGTCATAATATATACCGACCTATGCCCAATAAATTTATATATGGTAGTAGGAGTTGGCCCTGAACTAAATAAGGCCTGTTTATCTACCATTATGTCACTGGACAAAGGTTTTTTTTTTTGTTTTTTGCTAGACAGAGTACTTTTTAGAGATATGTTCACATATTTTGTGTTGTTTATATGCACTTATATTTGTGTGTGGTGTTATAGCTTCTTGGTTAAAGAATACATTTGGCTGCCATTCTGGGGTCAAGAGGGAATTTTTTTTCTAGTTTGTGGCAAAATTGAAAGTGCTTCAAACTGTTTTTTCCCCCCCTTCTTTTGGATCAACAGCAAAAAACAAATGTGAGGAAGGCTGAACTTGATGGACACATATCTCTTTTCAGCCTATGTAACTATGTAACCATTAATCATTGGAAGTGTTTGAAGACAAGCTGCATAACTCAGTGGTGATGCCTTAAGTCATCTTTATTCTACTTTTAACACTACAAAATAGGAAAAAAATAATTTAAAACTTTGCCATCATTTTATCATTAACACCCAAGACTGCAGATGGCATACATTTTATGTCCACTATTACTTGAACGTGAACGGTGAAAGGAGCCCAAAAGGCCTTCTTTGTCTATGAGACATCTAGTGGAAAAATTTGATTAGTGCAGTTAATTATTAAACTTAAAACTAGCAGGGTTATTCACCAAAGTGAGAATTGCCATGAATTCAGAGTGAATTCAAAGTGAATTTCACAATGGACTTTTTCTTACCTTGACACCATAGTACCTAATTGGCTGAACATAAATCCATATAATGTGGGTTTTAATGTATTTTAATAATTATTTTGATGTATTTTAACATTTTATGTGAGTTAATTTATGGAAAGCTCTTTCAACTTTTTCTCCCAATTTATCTTCCTATTTTTTGTGCGTCTGTACTTGAGCAAATATTTATTGATATTGTTTTAATTTTTATTATTGTAGGGATATAGTTCATGCAAATATATTCTTATCTCACGTATTACTATTTTTACTTTTTTTAAACAAATGTTTTGTTTTTTTAAAGTGAATACTTACCTATTTTTACATTGTTTAGATACATTATTGGACACAATATGGACTTGATTGCTAAAATATGACAAAAGAGGCAGTTTACCCACAAATATAATGAATGTTATGGCAATAACCAAAGGAAATATGGCGCCCAGACCAGAGAGCAACAAAGACATCACACGCAAATGTGGAATGATGCCAGATGTCAATATGGAATCATGCCACTGGAAGTGACAAATGTGGAAACAGGGATCTTAATTAAATGTGCAAAGGAGACTAATTTCCCAAATGACAGATTATGCACCTCGAAGAAGACCACTATGGTTAAAATGCATTGTGCTATTTGCTACCCAATTTTGATGTTTAGCTTGGATTTTAAATCACAATAAAAGCAGTGATATTTGTAAGTTTAAAATCAAAGATAAAAAAGGTGATAGCGCAAACTCAGATTGTATTTTACCTTTTCAATAAATATTCACAGAAAAGGTCCTTTTTGAAATAATAGCAATTAACGGTAGACCCTGTGTAATGTGAATATAAAACAGACCACAGTGTGAACCATTACAACTAAAATCAGTTAGTAAGTAAAAATGGAACACTTAATTTTCAGAGCCTTAAATGTTAGTCTCTGAACTATAGAAGCATTTCATCCAAGTAAGGATGGTTGGATCTGGTTGTTTCTTCCAAGATTGCAGGTGTGGAAACTTTCCTAGGGACTCAGGAACCAGATGAAGATGGTTAAAAAAGGAATTTATTACAACAATATATAAAATAACAAATAAAATAAGCACGTGTTTCGACCATATGTGGTCTTCCTCAGGTGAAATATGTCTTACCTCTAGCTTGCACACCTATATATACACCCCTGCCAGGTACACAAATAGGTGTGGCCACTGCTCAGGTAAATTCATGTCCAAAT